GCCATCGGCGAGTTCCATTTCGAGGGTCTCGATGTGCGTCTCCCAGCGGCAGGCGACCGGGGGCTCGAACCAAATCACCGAATCCGGCAGCCTTTTGGGACAGGGAGAATATATGATAGATTTAGCAATACAGAAGATATAGGGCAAGAGATGGCAACCCACTGCAGAGTGACCAGCGCCAGCTTGTCCAGAGCGGACTCGATCATCCTCATCTCCGCCTCGATTTCCTCGGGCAGACGTCGCACTCCGGGCAGCACAGGAGGGGGCGGCTTATAGGTCTGATAGTATTCCTTGTGCACCAAACTATTGGCGCACGTAACTGTTGAAGGGAGAAGAATGGAATGGAGGGTCAGAGATGGACAGAAAAGTGGTTGAGGTGCTCTACTAGTTCGTATGAAGGAGTGCGCATTGAGCTGCTTGTCCTGCTGCGGCGTCTCGAGGAAGTCAATGCAGTAGACGCCGCCAATGATGCGGTACTTGCGGAGATTCACGTCCGTCTCGAGCATGCCATAGGCCTCGGGTCCGATCGCCCTCCGATGGGCACGACTCAGCTCATCCTCGTACTCCGCATAGAGCTTGTCCACGTCGTAGGTGCGCTCCCGCGGCGGCTGCGAGCTGGCCGAGTGCTGTTCCTGCGTGAGTTGCTCCAGCTCCGAGAGCGGAATGTCCCTGCCGCACTCGTCCAGCATCGCCTGGAGTATCTCCTTTCGTTTACGCCACTCGCGTTTCGTTTGCCGCAGAATATCTGTCATGGAATGGAGGTCGATAATAATATTGCACTGGTATTTGTATCATTCCTACTGGCATTCTCGGAGCGTGCGTGCTTTAGTCGATAGCTGCTGCAATAGTCACTGAAGTGGTCGTAGTTGAGCCACAGGCCCCGCAGCGCCGAGCTCTGGAGTCGCACTGTCGGCGGCAGGGAGATCTGCATTTCAATGGTGGGGAAATCGATCTCATTGTGAGTCGACTGCTCTCCAATGCGGGCCTTGGGATTGATGGCACTGCCATGGGAGAAAAGGGAAAGATTCTGGGTTTGGGTTTCGGGCAGACTGAGGCTTCTGGGGCTACCTACATCTGGGCATCCTTGGAGAAGGTCCACACAAAGCTCTGAAAGACGTCCGAGCTGTAGATGTGCTTCGAGACGCCAGGTCTATCGATTCTGTTGGGAACATCGGGGTCACCACATAATGGTATGCACCGAAAAGTTCGTATATACTCACTCCATATCCCGCTCAATATGGGACATAGTCTTGTAGGTAAACTCGTCCAGGTGCTGCCTGAGAAATACCCGCATTTCCGTCTTGAGTTTTGCCAGATCCGCCGCAAGATGCGGGGAACGCTGCCTAAAGGGCAGCATATCATCCAGTTCGCTGAGAATCTGTGTGTGACCCCAAAATCAATCGTCAGTGGAGGATACAGTGGGCGGGGACTCACCCCCAGGACCTCCTTGATGCGATGCGCATAGATATCGCCCAGTCGTCCCTGCTGTTGGCGCAGCGAGATGCGCGTCAGATCCGCCACCTGGGCATCCTGTGTGAGCAGCGTTCGTTCGTCTGTCCGCAGCAGCCAGTTGCGTGCCTCCCTGTGCCGCTGGGCGATGTCCGCGTGCCACTGATGGATGTACTTCCGCAGGTCGCTCGGACTGGCGGCATTTGGCAGCCCATTGCAGCGCATAAACTTCTCCCAATCGCGCTCGTGCCGCTCCCCATCTCTGATGGCTTCGATGGCCGTTCGCACCGCCTCGAAGAAGAGCATGCTGTCCTTCAGCTGTGCCCGGCGCTGACGGTTCTCGGCCACCTCCTGCTGCTGGCGGTGCTTTGCCTGCTCCATCTCGAGTTTTTTGCGCTGGCGCGCCTCCTCCAGTTTCTTTAGTCTGGTGGATTAGAGCCGGCTTATAAATGATGCAAATGATGTCCTGGAGTTTCCTCCCATTCTTTGGAGCTCACCCACTTTTCCTTTTCCATTTCGATGCGCAGCAGCTCTGCCTGCTCGGCCTCTAGGCGGGCCTTTTCCTTCTTGGAAAGCTTCTTCTTTGGCGGCTGTGTGGGGTGGGGCATCATCATCATCATCATTAACTCTTCGAGTGAGGATTGGACCTACCATCTTGACCTGTTCCTATCTACCCCTTGAGTCCTCCCTGGCAAAAGTCGAATGGCAAATGGTGCGCCGCCTGTGGTGTCTCTCCTGCAGGATTGTCGTTCACACATACTCTTATTGATTTAATGCCACACCATGGTTACCTGTTGTTTCTGCCGTTGCTTGGGCAACACCCCACGACGTGGGGTCGAACTGTTCCGACTGTCGTCTGTCCTCTGCGGCCAGCTGCCATAATATCCTTAATTAAATATTCAACGAGAGCTTATTGCCGGCCAAAAATGTGTGTTGGCCCCCTCGAGCCGGGTCTCCAGGTGGCAGGATTTGCACGTCGCTCGGTGATGCTGCAACACCATGACCACCAGATGATCCCTGCCCCACACCTGGGTGGCAAGTGACGTTATCCGTATCTGTGGCCCACTTAAGCTTGAAAGCGCCTCTAGATGGTTAGTGAATCGATGGTTTTCAACGATTTCCTTCATTAACTGACAGGCATTCCATCGATATCCCATTAGCAGAGACCTATACCATTCATTCACCTCTTGCATTCATCGAACTTTCCCAAAGAAGAAGAGAACAAGCCTCAAAGTAAATCTTACAGAATAATTTATATCTTATTTGATTCGTATATCCCCCGGGAGAGGGCATGGAATGCTCTACTCCCCTGCAGAAGCGGGCTAAAGGCTGTCTAATTGTGGCAAGTCGCTCGACAAAGTAGATCCTGCTTCAACGATCAAATCGCACGAACTGCTGAAAACAAAATCAAAATCAAAATCAAAACCGAATAAGAAGATTGTTGTGGCTTTTCTTTTTCATTCTTTATAATGTTCCTCCTGCGGAAGACCCACCCTCGACCCAACCGTCGCTTTCAGCCCAGTTTGAACGTTAATTGGCTGAAGTTTGAACTCTTTTCGGATTGAACTTTCCCAGCATATCCTGTTGCACTTGACAGACTCTTGCTACAGACTCCCTTGGCTCTTACTAGCCTTTACCACTGGCATCACCTTGCTTCATCTCACCTTTCCTCTGTTCTTGTCACCAGCTAAAACTTTACCATTTCGGTGGCACTGCCTCTGGCTCTGCCTTTTCCCAGCGACCCTTTTCTGTCTTGACTCTGGGCCAAAAGTTTTTCCTTGGCCTTTAACGTGCCATATGGGGTACAAATTTGAGGTGATTCCAGGGGGTCTCCGGCTGTCTGTGCTTCATTAGGTGTCGGGTTGACAACGCCGCTTATTTAATTGCCAGCCCATATTAAATGATTGGCAAAACGGCACCCGTTCTCGGTTTCGTTTCCATCAAAGGACTTGAACTTGGCCCCTGTGCCCAGGCTCCCAAGTGGCCTGGGAAACTGTGAGAAGGTCCTTTATCAATTTAATAAGCACAACATTGCCCGTAACCTGTACGATAATTAGGTGTGTGGGAAGGTCAGCAACTTCACACTTTTCCAGACAAAAATAGCGCCAAACAGCGCCCCATCCGTGGGCTGCCGTTTCGCAGAACCCTAGGATATATGTGTAGAGCGTTCAATGTTGGACTGTGCCACGTGTCGTATAATGCGACGTAATTTGTGTAAATAATACAAATTCCATGGCATTGATTTTCATGCCAATAAAGCCCCAACCCAAGCAAAATAAGCTGCAATTGGGAGCTCCTGCTTCTGCTGCTTGGGAGAACCATCAGCTGGGCTGGGACTAAGCACTCGAAGGAGTGGGATAGGATGGGGATGGGCAAAATGAGGCACTTGGCAAGTGGTGCTGCACAATAAATATATATCATACGCACCGTTGACGTTGACAGATCACTGTGCTGAAGCGTTGGCAGGGTACAAGCGACAGGCGACAGGCAACAAACTGCAACACAGCAACTACAGCCACCAGACAATGGTGGGTTGTCAGCGATGGTGATGGTCTTTAGAATCTGCACGAGGCAGCAGTCACCAGGCAATACCCATCCGCATCCGCATCCCCCATCCCACCATGCCATCTTTGGTATCCATCTCCTGAATGCCTCACGCTCGAGTGAGCCTTGCAGTCTGACGGAATTGGTGAATGGAAATCCTCCGAGAACATAGGGAGAGCGAAAGAGAGAGAGAAAGAGAGAAAGAGAGAGCTGAAGCTGTGGCCGAGGCAGAGTCAGAGCCGGAGAAGAGCTTCTCTCGCTTAACCCTTGAGCAGACTTAGGTGGTTTCATGATGTTATTGGCTAAATGTTTCCCAATGAAACAAAGGCTCTGGCAGAATATAGGCTGTATGAGAGGGAGAGGCCTGAGACTGTGCCTTCCATCTTTCTTGTTCCTTTCTTTTGGGTTTTTCCGTGTTCTAATCCACTTTATTCGCTCCTTTTCTTTGGCAATTGTTCAATGCCTCGCACATCACTCATCATCATCGCGCATGGGGAGTCTGCTGCCTCCCTCCCTGCCCCTACCATTCCCACCTCCTGGTTATTGATCACTCGACATCAGTGGGATAAATATCTGGTCGGTTCATTGTCTGAGCATAAACCCCGTACACACCGATTGCTCCAATGACCCCAAGCGACACCCCCCATCCTTTGAACCTGTCTTTGTCTTATGCTGAATGGTCCTCGGGTTCCCGTCCCCTGGTTTTCTCCATTGCATTATTTATGGGCACAGCAAGCGGCCCACTCGAGGGATTGGAGGGCTTTCATTGTTTTAACCACTAAACACGAGGCGATTTATCTTTCGACTGGCACCTTTTTTCACCTTTTATCTCAGGATGAAAGATAGTGAAAGATGATTCTTTTCTTATGCAAAAAAGGGGGGCCTGGAGGAGCGGGTTCTTCCCGGATTCTGTAAAGTCTAATAATGGAGTTTTTTTGCTATCTTATGATTAAGATAGTGCCTCTAGAATTGTTTTATGATCAGTAGATAAATGCCTAAGCTCCATTTTGAATTTTTTTATTTTTTTAACGAACTAAAAATATTTGTTTTACTGCATCCAAGGTTGAGGATTTATATACAGGTCTGAGATAGTGCCACGCAACGAGTCGATGCCCTGGTTCATTGGCACCGGCTTGGGCTTCTTGTGGACAGTGCTGAACCACTTCTTAATTGCCATTGCGGACTGTGTCTGGCGATGAAATAGATCCTGTTCGTGCTTAATCTTCGCCAGTTTTTCCTCCTGGCGCTTCGACTTCTGCATCTGGATCTTCTTCAAACGCCAGCTCTCAAGCTCCTGATTTATCTCCTCCTTGGATATATTGCGATGGGGTTTGGCAGCGGCGGTCACTGTTATGGGATTACCCTTCAGCGAAGAGCTGGCATTGAGAGCCGCTAGCTGTGTGTGATTCTGAACGCGTTGTTCCTCCTCCTCACGTTGTTTGTTCTTCAGCCACATCTGGTAGACCATCTGGGATATTTCCTTACGCTGAGCAGCGTAAGAATCTTTGGCGGCGCGTTCTTCCATCTGTCGGTGCTTCTGCTCCTTGCGCTGCATGCGCTTGTATGCCAGCCAGTCGTCGTAGGTCATGGCCCAGGCCTTCACATTTTCCTGTGGGAACCATTAGGATTAGAATGGGAAATTCGTTGGGGAGTGGATCGTACCTTAAGATGATTTTCTTTCGGAGACTTTGGTGTTTCCTTCTGCGATATGGGACTACTTTTGTTTGTGGCAGTATCGCCATCTTCAATCTCAAGCATTGATGCCACCGATGTTGAAGTGCGCAGATGCGATTTGTGCATCAAATTCAAAAGTGTCTTCCTGGTGCGGAGCTCATCAGATGTCGAATCCAGAAGTGTCGGCTTCTTTTCGGATTTACATGAATCCGGGGACGAATCAAACATTGATACATGGAAGTCTGACGACCGTTGTCTCATCATGCGAGGAGATGCGTCATCAGAAGAAGCGCGTTCAGATATCGGTGAAAGCGAAATCATTAGATTGTTATTCATGTCATCATACGATGACAGTGGAGAAAAATTTAAATTCGTTGATTGCTTAGTTTTGATGAGTTTCGATCCATGAAACCCTTCATCCGTCGATGTCGACTTGCAGCTCTCCGACGATTGCTTCTTCCTATTCATGCGGCTAATTCCACGAAAGACCGCTTTTGAATATGGAGAGGACATCGGTTTCTTCATCTCTGGTGATCCCTTCATGTTCATGCGAGAGTCCTTGTTAAATGTCCCTCCTAGCGATGAAGAAGACGAAGATTTGTGGATGTTCTTCTTGCGGTTACTACCAGACGATGATGAGGCTGGAGACTTGCGGGTCTTCTCCGCATTGGGTTGGGATTTGCGGAAGGTTTTTCCAGGCGTTGATGAGCCTGAAGAATTTTTGGTACCCAACGATCGCCGAACGCTTTTACGAGGGTTCCCACACGATGCTGAGGACCCTGGGGAAACTGTTTTTATTTTCTTTATGAGCTTCTTCTTCACCTCCTTACCCGATGATGATAATGGAGACGATTTTTTATCCTTGTGAAAGTCTTCCTTAGGCCGCATTTTCTTGCTTCCAACGCGATCAGATTTAGGGGTCAATTGGAATGTACATCCGGGTATGGTCGGTGATCTTTGGGAAGTTCCCTCCTTAAATCGATTAGATAGTTTGCCAGATTTTTCAGAAGGACACTTCCCATTTGCTGTCTTCAACTGAGTCGCTTTTATCCCCTTGGTCAGTTCTTTGAGGGGAATAAAGTATCCCTTGGTATTGACTCCGCCATAGAATGCCATTTTCCGAGTATTTCAATTCCTGTATAGTTGGGAAACTGAATTTCTGTGTCTGTTTGTTACGGGTTTCCTTGATTGACTAATGATATGCTACTTGGTAACAGATTTCCAAATTACATCGAGGCATCAAGGCCTACTTTGTTTTCAAAAAATTGAAAAAAAAATCTCTGCTGCTCATTACTTGTTTCTCTCATCACAATGCATTGTGAAAGTATTCAAAGAGTTAAGGGATATATAAGGTTCATGGTGGATGTGTGTAACACTCAGAAGGAAGCGTTTCTGAAGCCGAGTCCCTATAGCCAGATAGTCTGTCCGTTCTTCTCTCTGCCAGAGCAACCCAATTTTGTATACAGACTCCTGTGATATCTATAATATATATAGATTGGCAGCCATGCATTCAGAAACATTCGAGCTATTCCATAACAAATAAGCACGAGACCTACGTACTTATTCTTTTGACCAGCAGTGTATCTGTGCACTCACAGATTACAGGGTGTAAGATATAGGAATAAGTGCAAGAAAAGGAGCAATAACTCGTATATACCTATAGCTATCATAAAATATAGATATCAGCAAGACCAGTCATTCCCGCACGAATAGAGATCGTATAAATGAATAGATGATTATTAAAGAGCTGTGATCAAAAGCAATTCAACTCCAATTAAAGCTGGAGAATAAGAGCAAGATATACTCGTTTGTAATACCCATAACTAGCAGGAAGTCAGTCACAAGGCACTTCACATTTACCCTTATACATACATATGTACATGGTTGTACGGTATCTTTGAAAGTACATGAAATTAGCCAACACATTCGAGGGTTAAGGCCCCCTCTACATGCAATACAATTTATTCGGTGTCCTCAAGCGTGCTCCAATTCATTTTCATTTCCATTTTCCATGTATTTTCTGGTGGTATTTTTGTCCTTCTTTTTATTTTCCTTTATTTATTTATTTTTTTTTGGCTGCTGCCTGACAAATTGCTGCTGCTGTTGGTCTTGGCCAACAGATGCTGTTCTGGCGTATGGCTCTGGCTCGGGCTCGGGCTCGGGCTCGGGCTCCAGGGCTGGTTTTGGTTACCGAGGGCCCTGAGTCCTGGAACGGCCTTCCTGCTATGCCATCTAGGCAGCAATCAATGCGGCTCACACACAGAGAATTGAAAGTGTTGCGATTATTAATTACTGTTTCGTGTGTGCCTGTGTGTGTGTGTGTGTGTGTGTGGGGGGGGGGGGGGGGGGGGGACCAAGTGTTGACGTTGTCATCGAGCTGCAGCCTGTGTCAGGGCGTCCCCCAATCCTCATTTTTCCCATTACCATTTTTGGATTTTATAATTATGTATTCTGGGGGCTATAACTGGTGTCCGACTGGGTGGGAATGACTTTGGGTTACGACAGCCCCGCCCTCCAGTGGGAGGCAGACGATGACGATGGCAGGATGAGTGCCACATTGCCACAGAGCCACAGCCAGTGCCAGTGGCAGTGGCAGTGGCAGAGTGAGGCGAGCCGGAATGGTTTCTTAATGTGCTCACAGCGACGTTGATGGCATTGCAAATGTGCACACGCTCCAGTCCCTCATCTTGTCTTCCTCTGAGTACTTAGCAGACGACCGACGACCCTACCCGTCCTTTCATGTTTGCTGTCAGATTTGGTGGAGAGAACAACTGCTTAACGCCGATGGGGGAAATGGGGCAGCTCGTATTGTGGGTGGCATAGGTGTCGGGGAGTCGTGTCCAATCCCCCCTCCCTCCACCCGGCGGGTAGATTGAAAATTGCAAATATATTGGGACATTCCCATAAGCCAAATGATTATTACCCGTTTGTAGGAGATGATCAGAAATCGTCGAGATAATTGAACAGATGAAGAGTCCTTTGTGCTGGTGCTCGGACAGGACATTGTATGTGCCTTATTGTCGGTCCTTAAGCGCTTGTGGTAGCACTCGTATCGTAGGTGGCTCAAATTATTGTATTTATATGTGTTTTATGAGTAATAATTGAACGACAGTGATCCCTAATATGGGGATTGGACTAGAGGGCCATTAAACGAAATGTCGACACCTTCTGGCAGTGTCGTACCTATGATCGAAGCTCTATATAAAGACATACCGCCAACCAGTTTTGGCTAAAATATAATATATATAAATAGAAATTTTACTCTCTCAAAATATTCCAAAATAATTAACGATTTTTCTCACTTTCTTCTCTCGTTTTCCCCAGCTGCCTGTGCACGCAAATTCTCATATCATCGTCTAACCGCCTCTCCTATCCTATGTTGTATCAACTACAAGGCTCCAGGGCTACAACTGCAAAACTATAGCCGTCAACCGAAAAGCAATCTTAATAAAACCTACAGCTCGTCAAGGTTGGCGTTCAACAAAAACAAAACATACTTATGACCACGAATAGTAAATAGTAGATCCTGCAAAAGTTTTGAATACCCGGTACACGAAAGTGGAGTGGCCGTCGTCGTGGACATGTCCTTTCTGTATAAAGACCTAGAAATTGGATGCACCCCCGACCCCCCACTCAATCGATTCATTGATCTATGCTGAACAGTAGAAGTAATCGTAATCTAACGGCAACTGCCAACACTGACCATTAACCAACACTAGTGGGGCAGCAGCACCGGGTATGAAATAGTGGATGCACTCGATTATCGGTACAATCCTTTCGACAAAACATTTGGCCAAGGAAAAATGTAGCTAGACGACAAATTATACAAGCAAAGGCGAGAAACGAGAGCCGCAGGAGAAGGAGAGGGAGAACTTTTGCATACAAAATCGAAACCAAGACGAAACAATAATTAGAATTAAAATTGACAACAAAAACAAGTAAACAAAAAACAAAACAAAAGAAAAACCCCCAGAGGAGAGGATGAAAACGCCCATTGTGATTCTTAATTTTAGACATTAGGCCAAGAGAAGCAAAAACTCAACAAAATACAAAATTCAAGAAGGGAAACTATAGAGAAAGAGAAAACATAATCCTTCGAATGATATCAAGCAAGGAAAAGGCATGATAGAGCCATATATCGCAGGAACCGCGCAGGATCAGGCAGTATCAAGGGCTACGACTAATCGCAGCAGCCTAAAAAGAGATAGGAAAACGACCAAAGGTTGCTGCTGCCCAAGGAGCAAGAAATAGCATGCAATAGCAACGCCAGCCGCCCAAAAGGACAACAACAATTCAAAGTTCAATTCCATCCAAATCGAACGGCAAGATACGGTTGCCAAGGGTTATTCAATGCGGAAAGGCGTCCTAGTCGGCCTCTGAATAACATTTCCTCTTCTCAAGCAACAGGAAAAGGAACAGAAACTGGAACTGGAGCTGGAGACAGAATATTGGAACTGCCAGGTTTCTTTTTCGTTCGGAAAAGTCCACGACCCCGATCCCGATCCCGATCCCGAACCCAACATCGATTCCGACAACAACAGCAGCAACAGACCAATCGCGAGTGATTCCCTTCAAATTTTGGTGGTGTTATTTTATTATTATTTTGTTTTCGCTTCGATCATTTTGATCGGAGGCTAAAGCTGCTGTCAAAGCTGCTACTACTGCCACAGTCAGAGTGCAAAGAGAGCCGCCAAGATGACTATGTGGCAGAGTGGCGGCATGGGAGGCCATGGCTCCCAGAACAATCCATGGATGAAGCTGATGGGCATCGTGCACAAGGAGCGACGCCACACGGAAAACGTCCAGAGTCAGTCCGGCTCCAACGAGCGCAACCTTAATCAGTAAGTGCAAGAAAATCATATTTACAATAATATAGTTTTCAGAATTTTCTATCAAATATCAGTCGAGGCAGTCTGCAATGGGCTCTTAGCAAATTCCCGTCTCCTTTGTTAACAAACGGCACTTTAGAACTTAGAATGTATTTCAGAACAAGATACTAACTACTACCACTAACCATACAGTATATAGATGTGCCAGTTCATACAACGAAAGTGTCACACACCGACTTGCGCTATCCGTACCCCAGAGTGACGTCATCATGAGAGAGAGAGCGCAGAGAGAACATCTTTGCATGTGTTAGTACACACGCAATATGTTTCGACAAAAATATGTGATTGCATGTTTTTTCAGATTTTTTGAACTCTCTCAGGTCTGATCTGTTTTGCCACCAGCATGTTTTAGTGTATGGGTGCACATGCATTCTCACGTACTTTGCGTGTGTGTGTTTACTATTGCTGGGCGCTAGAACTGAAATTTGAGTTTGGTTCTTGTTTTGGGTCTTTTGATGGTCTGACCTACCGCCACAAAATAAATGAAGAATGGGCAGGGGGTTGGGGTATGGTACACTAGGGCGCGGGAAACAAAATAAAAGCTGTTATTTGTTTGATTTATACCACAAAATATAAAATATTACAATAATATAATTACACATTATAATTATCCTTATTTTAAACAGGTTGATTATAAATTATAAAAAAATTTGCAAACGCCGTCGGTTCTCGACGTTTTTGTTTATTATAACTAAAACAATGATGTATCTAAATATACAATATAAGAAAAAATATATATATACTTAAATAAATATGCATAAATATAAATGGAATTGGTTTTACATATATTTCAAATCAATTGTCAATCGCGCGCTTTCCGACGGGAATCTGCAAAGTACCAATTTAGATGCCGGTCGCACCTTGAATACTCTCATGGACAATACCCATAAATTTTCTAATTCAATTATAAAATATCTTATGTACATACATATGCACATAAATATTAAAGTTTATTACATTCGTATATTGCATGAGGGTTTTCAAAATTACTGCTGCCCGGTCAGCGTCGAGTCGGTGTGTCTCGAGAGAAAGAATACAAAAACAAAATATGAATCGTCTGCGTGCTGAAACCGTAGGGCAGCGTGGTCGCTGATGTCTTTGGCGCGGCACAGTGGGACTCAGCCGAAATAGTAAAAAAATTGTATGAGTGCTTTAGATAAATTCTAATAGAGAATTTTCCAATCGAATTTTCCCACTGTGCCGCTCCAAAGACATCGGCGATCCGCGACCACCGCTTCGACGGTGCTGAGGCTCGAGAGTCCAGAATTGCCGAACAGACGAAACCGATGGGCATCGGGGTCGCGGTAGAGACGAAGTACAGGCGAAAAGGGAATTGAAACCCCGCGCGCTCCCTCGTGCCTTTTGGGTTCTAATGTTAGGACCCGCCATAGAACAGCTATATTATATATAGTCGAGAACCGACGGCGTTTGCAAATTTTTTTATAATTTATAATCAACCTGTTTAAAATAAGGATTATAAGGATATAAGGATAATTATAATGTGTAATTATATTATTGTAATATTTTATATTTTGTGGTATAAATCAAACAAATAACAGCTTTTATTTTGTTTCACGCGCCCTAGTGTACCATACCCCCACCCCCTGCCCATTCTTCATTTATTTTGTGGCGGTAGGTCAGACCATCAAAAGACCCAAAACAAGAACCAAACTCAAATTTCAGTTCTAGCGCCCAGCAATAGTAAACACACACACGCAAAGTACGTGAGAATGCATGTGCACCCATACACTAAAACATGCTGGTGGCAAAACAGATCAGACCTGAGAGAGTTCAAAAAATCTGAAAAGACATACAATCACATATTTTTGTCGAAACATATTGCGTGTGTACTAACACATGCAAAGATGTTCTCTCTGCGCTCTCTCACTCATGATGACGTCACTCTGGGGTACGGATAGCGCAAGTCGGTGTGTGACACTTTCGTTGTATGAACTGGCACATCTATATACTGTATGGTTAGTGCTACTACCTTAGAAAAATATCAAAAATAGTACAAAAAAATACAATAAAAAATACTTTAAAATTAGTCTAAAAAAATACTGAAAAAGGTTCGAATCTGGAAAAAGAAAATATTCGAAAATATATACTATACCTTTTACATATATTTTCCTAACATAATAATACAACAAAAAATACTAAAAAAATACCAGATACAAGACACAAAATGTACCAAACAAAATGGGCATTATGGGATTATAAATTCGTTGGCTAGTAGATCGATTGTGGTTCTTAAATGCATTCATGCAGATCTCTTATATCATTTCTACTTAAAGTGTGTCCCCAAATGCTGCCTCCTTTCCATCAATTTCAATGAATTGAATGAACGAAGAATGAGCTGACCCTTGAAGCCTTGAGGCTGGACCAAAAACAAGTCCAGAGCTAAGTGTGCTGCAACCTGGTTCCAAACTGCACTGCCCCAACCGTTGCTGCTTCCACGCCGTGTGACACCCCGCGACACCATTCGGCCATCAATAAGCACAGTTTTGCATAGTTAGGCGCATAGTGGCAATGCTGTGGGGGCCCGCTACGTGCTAGAGCGCAAGGATGTTTGACACTGCTTGCGCACGAAAGTATGCAACGGCCACTGCGGCCACCACCGACACCATCGCACCCTTAACCCGTGGGTGTGTTTGTGTGTGTGTGTGTGTCTGCCTCTGAACCGAATGTGGATGTGGATGTGGCTGTGGATGCCATGTTATGCATATTGGTCGTAAAACATGAGCCAACTGCGCAATTAAATGGTCCGCAATGCAAATGGAATGCCCCCAGGACATGGACATGGTCCACCCGAAATAAAGTACAAAAAAAGTACTATAAAGATTGGCGTTGGGGCGGCGTTGGCGGGGAAGGCCCTTCACGGCCCCGTCCCCGTCCCCTCCATCTGGTTTCCGTTTTTTCTGCCATTTACCACAAATCAACGCTGAGGACTGAGCTGTACTCCGAGTGTCGGGCTGTCCGCTGCCGCTCTGTCCCTGGGGCACCTTGTTTATCCAACTGAAGCGCCCTATAAATGATATATCCAACTGGTCATTGGGGCTGCAGTGCCACCCTTCTCCTTCTCCTTCGGTTGATGCGGCTGCGGCTGCTGTTGCTGCTGCTGACGCTGCCGCTGCCATCGGAAAGTGCAGCTCTTTGGGCTTTTAAATTGGCTATAAATGCGCTGGAGCATAAATGGATTTACACACATGCAGCTTGTTGCTGCCCCACTTCTCTCTTCCGCTCTTCCATTTCCATGTTGCATGCAAATACATTCCACTGCACACGCCCCAACCACCAACGGAATGGAAGCCAAACTCAAACCGAAGCCCAAACGAAAATCGAATCCATTCCCCATTCTCCACAGGCATATGCTTGCAATCCCCCTTTTAAAAAAATATTCCCCCATCCCTCTGGATCTCTTTCTCACGTGTGTGTATGTGTGTGTGTGCTCTGTTTCAAGGATTCAAGGAAGCGAAATGGGAAGGCAACTTCCGGCAGCCAGATGAGTCAAGCGGATGCCGTATAGATTGAAAGATGAAGATGCAGACCCAAGGAAGAATCTGGAACCTGATTAATTTTCGCTCTTTTCAGAGAACTATTTTCGAGTAAATACGATATGTAGATAGATACTATATCAGCTCTGCTCTTTCTATCTTTAGATTGCGATTCAGAGACTAATAAAATTATATTTTTGAACCATATATGTTAAGTACAGGCCATTTGACATCCTTTTTCCTGTATGTTTGCACATTTTTGACAAATCAGAGTTCAGAGCTCAAGCTTTATTGCAACTTTCCCATCTGGAAAGTACCCTCCCTATTGCCATTTCCATTTCTCACTCCTGCGACTGAGAATTGGCCCTCTCTCGCTCGCTCTCTCTCTCTCTCTCTCTCTCTCTTTGACACTCGAGGGGCATTGAACTTTTGAATTGCTCCCCCATGCACTCTGCCCCCGCTCAAGCGGATTAATTGAACTAGTTCCCCAATTTGCCAACTAATGTGCTCTTAGCATCCAAGCATCCCAGCATCCTGTATCCGCTGCAACCCAACACACACACATACAAGGTATCATAAACTTTCGCACACCCACAGCCATAGCCACACTTACACTCGTTCACAGAGTGGCACACACACACACACACACAATGGAAAGCACTTGAAAATGAAAGGATAATAATAATATTTTTATTATATTATATTTTACTCGTAGTTCTTTCTCTGTTGTTTGCTCGCTTGCATCTACAGGAGTGGCACGAGCAGCAGCAGCAGCAGCAGCATCAACATATGAGTGGAGAGGTCAGGTCATGGGGTTGGGTGCCCGGGTGCCAGGGGTTGACTTAAGTGCAGCTCTGCGTTGCTGCAACAACACTCAAGTGTTGTCGGGCACTGGGTCGGGCTATGCAGGAGGCTGGGCGGGGCGGGGGAGGCGGACATTTGTAACTGTAGCTGTAACTGCAGCTCTGCAGCTGCAGCAAGTGTTGGGCAACGCTCGCTAGCTGCGCGATGATTTCCAGGATTTCAGACGGATTTTTTTTGTGTGTGCCAAGTTTTTTGCAATTTATGGCTGGCTCTTTACATTCCGCATTTCGTGTTTCTCTTCTGTTTTCCTGTTTTCTGCTCTTTGTTCTCTGCTCTCTGTTCCTTTTACGAATTAGACCATGAGTTATTTGATTAAAATTCAAATGAATTCGAAATTGGCCATCTTTGGCCATTGTGCTTGTACTTTTGGGTGCCAGAGGGAGTAGGAGATGTTTCGGGTACCTGAACAAAGATATATGAATAAAATTGTTTGTGAATTAGTTCTGTTCAGCCGGTTCCCATGGAACTATTTCTCTGGTATTCCTCTATCCCCTGCTTTGGGCTTGGGGTATTTCATTCTTTCAATTATCTATTCAATATCTAATCCATTGAATCTATTCTCAGTGATTAGCCATGAAGCGTACCTTGATCCAT